TATATATATATATATATAAATACATAATATACACACATATAATACATATAATAATTCTTTGTTTACTTTAGCTTCTTTTTATTTGTAAATTCAGCATTTTAATATATAGAACATTTACAACACTAAAGAAAAAATAAAATTATATTCACAATTATGAAAATAGCAATTTTACGGCAATCTCTATATTATAGATACATAACCTGCGTAACATGTTATAAAAAGTTATTGTCTCTGCAATAATTAATGACATACTTATTTATCCTAAAAGCAAATTGCGACTAAGCAATTTCAGACTGCGTTAATATTTTATCAGTTAACATAAACATATTTTATACTATTTCTTAACAATGAGAATTAAAGCTTTATCACGTGAATTCTTAGCGTTGCCGCTCTGTTATTCATCTGTCTGTACATTGTTGTAGATCCACGATAGACACATTACATGCCGTCGGTATGCAATAATAATTCGAGACGTCGTCGTCTTCATAACTGTAAGCGCAACCCGCACGTAGGCGTGCGTAACCATATACTTGGGCCTTTTACATAAAGGCACGTGCGCATACACGTATATCTCCCTAAAAATAGAAATTTGAGTAAGATATTATTATTAGACGATGAGTGTGTGGCCGGCGCGGTTTCTTACCATGGCACTCACTACGATGACGGTACCTAGTTACGAAAAGGCGAGAGATCGCGATCTCTTCGTGTATTACCACTCTTACGCTACTCTCGGCCACTTTCGTTGAAATGAGGAATCCCGCGGTTGGAACGAGGAGATGCTTGGGAACGCGGAAAGCACCCGATAGCCCAGGAATTGTAGGCCGATTGAAGATTTCTAAGCATAGTGAAAAATACTTGCAATTGTTCAATGATTGTTGAATTAAATTTTAGTGCATTCGATCATTCTTAAGTTTTTGACTATTATCTTAATTAAGAATTCTTTATAAAAAGATTTAATAATATGTATCTGTATTAACCATGCAATACAATTTAATGTAAGTTTATATTTTGTAACAGAAAATGTAAAATGAAATATATTATGTTAGAAATATATAGAATAATAGTACAATAAAAATAAAATTCCGTTTCTACTGTATCATAAATAAATAAAATTTAATAAAAAATGCTGTTTTCAGCTCTTACATGAAAAGTCTGCAACATTTGTATAATGATTGTCCAACATATTTTATAAAATTCATTCGGTTTAATTTAATACTTGTTAAAATTATATTTATAAAATTGAAATTATTCATAGAAAAAAATCAAGTATGTGGGAGTCGTTTAAATGACTCCCACATACTTGATTTTTCAGCTTTGCATATTTTTGCTACGTTTCATTAAATGTGGATACTCTTCGAAATTCTTCGCGTCTTCGATGTATTTTTACTTTCCGACACGATCGTAATTCTTCTCGGAGTGGAATATTCCATCATGAGTCTTTGAAAATTTACATTTTATATAAATGGCTTATATAAATGTTCAAACATATATTTTAATGTAAGCATATATAGGATATCATATATGAAATATTCAAAAGCTACATTATATTTTTAACATTTTTTTATAACATTTTTAGAAAAGTATTTATCAATTACAAAGAAAAAAATAAGTAATAACTTAGAAGTAATAACTCAGGTCAGAAAAAAATAAGTAATAACTCAGAAGTAATAACTTACAAAGCTAAAATATTGACTTTAAATAATACTTGATTCTAAAAAAGAGTATAATTAAGAGTATAAATAGAAAGAATGTTATTGCCTTATTAATCATTATACGTCTTTTCAGTATGTCATATTCAGCTTTCTTTTTCCAATGCTTAAAATTTTTTTCATTAATAAAATTGCACATACATTTGCTTGATATGTTTTTTAATGTCTGATATTTCAATCGAAAAAATTATTTATAATATGTTTTTATGAAAGTTATAAGCAAATTATATGCCATATCCAAATGTGTTGTTTTTGTAGTGTGGCATTTAATAATTAATTGGTAATTCAGAATTATTTCTAAAATATTTTTTAATTTACTCATACTTGTTAGCTATAAGTAAAACTTTGATTAATTAAAATATTCTTATCAAAGTAAGCTCTCTTATCCAAATAAGAATAATAATATTGCAATAATGATTCACTTTTATTTATGTCGTAGATAAAAATAACGTATTATTAATCTGTGATATACGTAAGTGTCACCTACTAGACTGCGAGGCATTTCTATTGCTTCTTTTTGCTGACAGATCATGTTCAGTATGTTGAGAGTTCTGTAGCATGCCAGCTACTAAAATATGTATTATAATTTGTCATACTATTTATGTATTATAATTTTTTATCAATTCTGTAATATTTTGAAGTAACTAAATATCCTTCTGAGGCTTAAAGATATATATACATGAATAAATATCTGAATAAATACTTTTGTTTCAAAATAAAAAGTAGTTAATCCTTTCAATGTTTTGAAAAAGAAAAATAATAAGTTTATTCTTAAAAATATATACATTTTTAATGTTTTCTTTCTTGTGTTTTATTAATCTTTTACTATCTTTAAAAAAATTATAAATTTCTTAAAAAAACATGGAAAATGCTAATTTTTTATCTCAAAATAATTAATGATTTCAATTATTGTTGATAGAAAAGAATTATTATTAGAATTATTATATTAGAGAAGTATTATAGCTCCTACAGGTTAATGGTCTCTTTTAATATTTTCGCTATTAAATAAAAAATTCTAAAGATTATTTAAAAAAACCATTGTTTAGTAATCCATCGTTATACTATGTATGTAATAATGCTAGTACCATTTATTATTATCAGGTAACCACAATAACTGACGTTTATTATAATGCATTTTTACTTTTAACTTACTATTTCGAAATGTTTTAAAGGTCTATTTTAGTATTTAATTATACATATTTTCTCATTTCTCTAAAACTTGAGAGTATTATTATATAATTATATATACATATACATTGGAGTATGTTGTATGTTATTTTATTTGGCTGCACACATTTCAGATTATGCAAAGTTAAATAATAGCATTTCGTTAATATAGCCCTTTAAATATGATGATTGTTTGCGATGAGCGATTATCTTTTTTTTTTGAGGTTTTCAATATAAAAATAATTATTCGAATAAAAATAATTATTAGGTTGTATCTTTACTGCTAAACTTTATAGTGTTTGAATACTATGTTTTTTTTTAAATAAAATCAATATTTTATAAAGGACTTTATCACTTATTTCTCTTCAATTTTATGCAATTCAATTTATCATTACATTTTTATAACTAATATCCTAATAAGTATCTAACAAATATTTTATAACCTTGAGTATAAAGTTGATTGATCAACTATGACAAATATAATCATTAAGTTTTAAATTTAAATATTGATTAAGTTCATAGAGATCATTTATCTAATCAGTATTTAATAATATATTAGATACCATGAAATTTTATTAAATGTCAGTAAAAATTGTATAACATATAATAAAATAATATGTATGTACAAAATAATATGTAGATATATACTAACAAGAAAATGAATCAACTATTGTTAAAAAACAAAAAATAAATAAACGTTCTTATAAAAAATGAACAAAATATAAAGATAAAATAAATTCACAAATAATAAAAGATTATCAATTTTAACAGATTATAATCTAAAATTAAATTAAATTTTAAAGCATTTTTCTTTTAAAAATCATTATTAGACTTTAAAGTGTGTGTCAAGTTCGTGAAGATTATTAGTAGACATATTTCAGCCCAAAGACCTGAATCTTACTTCAATAAAGAATCTCCGTTGCCCTTTGGTGTTCGCCGTCACCGCCACCGGCGGCACAGCATCATCAACAGCATTGACGTTCCCAATGCACACGTGCCGTGTGCAAAGCCTGAGGGGCTATGACTAGGACGCTCCCGACGCGAGCATAGTCATTCGAATCCAGTATTAGTGCGGTGTAGAGTGCTCGGTGTTTTGTAATCCACTTACTCAAATTCTCCTCTCTCTCTCTCTCTCTTTCTCTTTCTTCGTCTTTCTATCTGTTCTTTTCTTTTTCTCACGTGACTACGATCGATTAGTGGTGAGTACCAAGAGATAAGTGTGGCGGATATGTATGCTACTCTACTACTGCTACTACTATCAAACACTTCTGTACTACTATCGATGACGATACTCTTCTTAGCTGCATCGATCGATGCCGCAAATACCGACGACAATACACAAACATATGTATCGCTCAAAGAAGTGCATGTAGAATCATTGCAAGCGTGATTTATCTCGTGATTGTCTGTTTTTCTCGTGTGTCTCCTTCTGAAGTACTGAAATTCATATAGTGCCATGAAAGATATTCATCGACGGCTTTGAACGTATACTCCAGGTCAGCTACTTGGGTAAATTGTCATATCATGGAGAATTTTCAAAATTTTTTATAAAGATTAGTTTAATCAAATGAAAATCTTTCTTAAATAATATTAAATTATTATAAACGCTAAATTATATAGTTTGTAAAATTTTAATCTACTTCTATTTATGAAAATATTTAAAAATTTATATCCTCACATGAAATTATTCTTAGATTATTAGATGCAATAAATTTGCCAATTTGCCCATACAGCCAATTTCTAATTCCTTTTAATAAAATTAATGAATTATCAGACTGTCTGGATCGTAACCAATTTTCAATTTTAAAGAGAGAGAGAACTACTATTTTTATTATTATATATTATTATATATATTATTTATTAACTATTATTTTTAAATTTTAAAAAAAGATATGTTTTATTTTAAATTACTAATTTGTATTTTTCATAGAGATACAATTAAATTAAATAATACAATTAAATCAATTCTTTTAAGTCAAAAGTTTAGCTAGGACATATTTTTATATGTGAAGAATTCTGTCAAAAGCCTATTCCGAATTGGAAGTAGACAATCTTATAGCCTTATTCAATAATATAGACAAAGTTAATAAGATTTAACGATAATTACGTAGCGAATTGCATAGATGGACACGGTAAGGGATATCTATGCTGTCTAAGATGAATATGGTATGTTGCAAAATTTAATGTCTTTAATATCTAATCTCGTGCAGAGATTAAAATAGAGTCACGATCACTGAACATAGATTTCATATCACGTTATAATTAGACATACAAGATATTAATAAAATTGACAAATTAAGCTATGCTCGTCGATCTTCAGACGTTAGAGAAGATGAAGAAATAAAAATAGTGGAAACATCAAATTTAATGTGCAATAATTAAAGCTTGTACTTTTATAATCAATACATATCAGATGAATTCTAATTAATTAAATTTAACAATTTTAGTGGATTAAACTAATGATACCTTTGTATCTAAAAAAAACATATAGATTCTTAAAACATAAGTAACATAATCTTTTCATATTAAAACTTTAGAACTTTTCATATTAAAACTTTAGATTGTATAAGTAGTATTTACGATATCTAATATACCGCTTAAATAAATTTTATATAAAATAAGGTTGCATATCACAATCACAAAAGGTATGATTATCACATGTATTCGTGTTACCAATCTTATTAATTTTAAAAATATGCACATATTTTCCCCTGTTATTATTAGTTGCTGGAACAATCGGCTAGCAGTGCTCATTAAACTAAGTTATCAAATAAATTCAATGAACGAGGATATTATCGTTGATTAAATATGACTAATCATATAGTTCCAATGTATATTTTATAAAATCATTATAACTTTACTTATAAGCAGATAGTTAATTACAAAATGCGAGGACAGAAAATAACATGGCTTTTCTCTAACGAATAT